GTCTGATACTGCCATAATAAACGGCACTTGGCCGGTGTAACGCCACGGTTTGGGCACCTCAATCAATGCCTTCAAGGGTGAGGAGTAGTGTGAGGAGCGGCGATCACAGGAGGGTCGAGTGCAGAGCCTGCGTTGGCAGAGGGGCATCGTGCCGTGGTGTTACCCATAAGAAACGTGTCTACATTCAACATAGGGCGGTTTTGTTGCAGGCAAGCGGAGCGCCTAGGGGCCGCCGGCCTCATGCGTGTGTTGCATCCAAGGCAATCAAACCACCGTGCTCCCACATGACCTCCACGGGTGTCACATGACAGCGCATGGACGATGTCCGACCCCATCGTCCACGTTCCAATCCCATTCAAAGTCACAAGTAGCTCTGAGACGCACACGAGACCGGTCGCATCCTGGACGGCGATGCGTGCCATCCAGCTGACTGGCGCACGCGTAGTCAAGTCGCCCCTCCACCCGCCTCCCCACTACCCAGCTTGCAGCAGGTGTGCCGACCCCGGCACTTGCTTCATTCGCGCTGCTTCTTATCACGAGCTGTCATTCACGCTTGAGGGTCCCACCGTCGCTGTTTTCTGCATTTGGCTTCCTCGACGAGGGTGGAGCGTACGAGGCGCATGCTGGATGCGCCACAGGTTGGTTTCTGTTTAGTATATGCTGATGCGAGCGATGATGGTGGCCCGCACGCATGCGCGACCGTGCGGCAGATGGCCTGCATCAGCTCCTGCAATGCGACTCTGCTCTCCATACAATCCGTCTTCACGAAGAGTAGGTATTGATTGCGTGCGAGGAGTCCAGGGGTCCGCAGGAGTCGGGGCCAGGCCGCCCCTGCGGCAACGCTGACCGACGGAAAGCGGCGCAATATTCAATCGACGACGCCAACAGGCGACGCTCGCGAGGGCAAGAAATAACTGGCACGCGCACAATGGCTGTCGTCGCTGTAGAAAAGGAGAATCCATCGACCCTGCTGCGCTTCGTACGCCTGGCGGCCGCAAGCGACGAGCAGCATCGCCAGCAGCGGCAGCGCAGCGTCGACGGCGGCGGCAGTGGTGACGACGCCGTCGACGACTGCGCGCTGGACGCGCTGCGCGCGTTTGCAAGCTTTGCACCTGAGCAGGGCACGGGCTGCGGCGGCGGCGCAGCGTGGGCACGGGCGCAGGATCCTTGCACTCCTGAGGACGCAGTCGGCCTCTTGAAGGCATACGCATCCCTGGCCACCCTCAACGCAGCCGCGGGCTCCGGCAGCAAAGGCGACGCCCCCGCCCCTCCGCGCCCGGCCGCACCCGAGCCCGCTTCCGCAGCGGAGGCTCTGGCGCTGCTCGCTAAGCTGGCGCCGGTGCAGCCGCCGCCGCAGCCGCGGGGGTCGCCACGGCGCGCCCTGAAGGAGCTGCGGCAGGGGCCGGCGGCGACAGCGGCGGCGGCGGCGCTCGTAGCGCCGCTGCCGCGCGGCGGCGACGCGGCGGCGGATGACGCCGCATTTGTATTTCAGCGCATGGCTGGCTTCGAGCCGCAGGTGCGATGGCAGGCGTAGCCGTCAGCCGCAGCCCTGGGCTCCAATCCTCCATCATATCAGCGGCAGCAAGCATTCCCGCGCCCACCCACTGCGAGCCGGATCTGCTCGTTGCGGTGACACCACAGCATTCTTTGTCGCAAGTAGCATTCACGTAGTTTGTAGGCACGCCGTCCCCGATAGTCGGGGACAGTTTGGCAGCGTCTGGGGTGGAGCTTGATGCTGCGCTCCCCCTGGTCGCGGAGGCCCATGAGTGCGCGCGGCCTCCGCAGGCCAGCGCACTGTGGGATAGAGCAGCCGCGTTTGCTTGTTATTTCTTCTGCCTACTTTATACAGGAAGCCTTGAATCTCAACCGATGACTGCGACCCGGCGCCAGGCCAGGCCGCCGCCGTCGCTCATTTCGTGAATGCACGAGCCTTTTTGGCAATCGACCCATCCCTTTGCGAGCGGCGACAGTGGGGCAGCTCTGACGCGCCTCAGCCGCGCCGCCCCTGCTGAGCTGCTGGGCCGCACATCCTCGTGGGACCGGGGGAGTCTTGCCTCACCTCCGCCCCTCCCTCGCCCACACATGTACATTTTTGCACCCATCCGACCGTAATTTTTGTAATTATCACTATGTTTCAGGGTTAGATCGGGTATGCGTTAGGGGTGCAGCCCATGGTTTGAACCTTGGAACAAACTGGTTGAGCCGGGTGGCAACAGTAGTGCGGATGCGTCGCACACCTTGCAGCCGCTGATCCTCTCATGCCCATGATGCTGTGGAGGCCACAGTCTGCAAATGCGCAAATTACGCAAAGCACGCGTGGCGCGGTGTGCAGCGCCCGTGGGGCTGACGCCAGTTGCAACTGGAACGGAGAGCATGGGGGAGGGGGCAACAGCGGCCTCACGATGGCGCAGGCACCTAACAAGCGACGGCTGCCTGTGTTGCGTCACGCACACCTGCTGTGTTTACGCAGCACTGCCAGGCGTGTCCTGCAAGCTGCTTGGCATTGCCAGGCTGAGCGCAGTCAAGCGGGGCCCGCACGTCCCGCTTACGTGCAGCTCAGCGGCCTTGCCCTGCCAGAAAATGATTTCCAGCGCCTCTCGACGCAACCGACCAGCTGGGGTCCGTGCGGCAAGCCACAGCCTGAAGCGGCATGTCGCAGCGCAAGCTGGCCCTGCTCTCTGTGGCGAATGCTGATTGCCATTGCTTGGGCGGTGCCTGGCCTGTCTCATCCCCAGTGGCATCCTCTCTAGCCTCGGTCCCCCGTCACGTGATTTTCCAGCCACACTGTGGGGTACATCTGCTCGCGTGAGCGCATCGCTTCCGCATAGTGGACCTGGACGCAGGCGCAACGAAGGTGGACCTTTCTGCATGCAGTGGTTGGGCCTAAGGCAGACTTGTTGGATGCTGTGGCGTAGGATTGGAGTCACACTTGAAAAATGCTGAAAGCGATTTGCATTCATGACGCATGCTGCTCAACCATACCTTGATTACACGGCAATGTACAATGGCTACAAGTGTATTAGCAGCCGGCCCTGCCTGGACAGCCCAACACTGGTGCAACAGACCTGCGAATTGCGAAGAACTGACTGGAAACATGGCTCGCTTCCTCGAGCCCATGTTCTGCCAGAGACGAAGCGGCTGCACGCGGTCTGCAGGCGGCGCAGCGCCCGCACATCCCAGGCATCAGATCTGTCCACGTGGACAGGGTGGGCGCCCATATGAGCGTGGTGGGTGTGTAAGGGACAGAGTGAGCAGCACGGTGGCTGTTAAAAGGACATGGTCAGCTCAGGCCACAGCATGGGGCTTGGACCAACTTGGTCTTAAAGACTGTTGGCAAGTGATTTGCCAGGGTTTTTATTGGACCTAATGCATGACAAAAAGGCATCAAGGCTCTCAGTCAGCCTGGCGTGGCAAAAAGGGCAGCAAGGGGGGCCAGTAAAATAATGAAGTGAGGGCAAGCAAGCCTCGCAGTGCAACCTGAGATGCCCCCCCCCCCCACCCACCCAAGGGTACGGGGGCCAAGGGGTCATGTCATCAAAATTGGCGCAGCTTGTTGCCGCCCGCAAGTAAAGAGGCGGGAGTCGGCGCAAGCTGCCGGCGCATGCCTCTGACAAGCAAGGCGCGACGTGTGTGTGCGTGCCGCATGATTGTCAACAGCAACATGACTAAGCGCGGGAGATTGGGCATGTGGATATGCCCTGGCAAAACAAAGCTCTGGCACCGTGTGTGACGCGCGCTTCGTGGGCACCTTGCTGCATCCATCGCACGCAGCCGCTTCTGCGCTGCGCCGTGCATGGCGAGGCGATTGGCGATGAGACCCCGCGCCCTCCGCACACCAAGGAGACTGTCGCACGCCGCTGCTGACAGCAGCGCCCTCGCTGCGCGGTCAAACATCGTCACACCACATCACGGGGTCCCGCGCGTGCGCGCCAGCACCTCTGCCGCGGCCCAGTGCTCCACGAGCTCCCTCCTGAAGCGCCCCGCCACGGGGGCTATGCCCATGTGGCCGATGTTGAGGGACAGCACGCGCGCCCCCAGGGCGTGGCCCAGGGCGCGCTGCGCAGAGGGGTGGATCAGGCGGTCCCCCTCAGAGACCTGGGGGGGGGGGAGGGTTGATTGTCCAAAGGGGTGGAAGGGCAGTTGGGGGCATTTAAGGATGATGTGGCGCCGTGTGGGCGTCTAGGCGGGGCCCCTCGAAGCCAAAGCTGGCTGCGGGGTTGCCGGGTTCCAAGGGGTTAGTGGACTTCCCTTCTGCGCACCGATGGGGCTCGTCAGCAGCCGGCAGGCGGTGCAGCAGGCCCGATCGCCTCGCCCCACCCGCCGGCGAGGTCCCTCACTAGCAGTGCAAGTCCAGGGCCCCGCCCACCCCCCCCAAAATGCAGCAAAGTCAGCCACCTTTTCCAGAGGATGCCTCAATGCTCAGCCCATGAACCCCGTGAAAAAACAGACATGCATGACATCACATCACC